ATGGGCAATATTCCATCTTTCACCAGAGCTGCGTATATGGTCACCTAGATAAAAAGTTATTTATCTACAAATTCCAGAGGCTACAGACAGATAAAAAGAACAAACAGTCTTGTAGCACCTTGAAGGCTAAGGCTGCAATTCTATGCACGCTAACTAGTGAGAAGCTCCCATTGAGCTCAGTGGAACTTGCTTCTGAGTAAATTTGCACGTGTCATACCAGATTTGTTGTGGCAGAGAAATTACTGATTATAGCAGAAAGAGATGAATGTGGTGGGACTGAGGACATAATGATATCAAGTTTAAGGGTTGATTTTCCACGATCCTTAAATTCTCAAGAAGTCAGTCTACTGTTACAAAGTGGAAGCATCTTTTCTGGGTATCATAACAAAAGAAGAACTGCATTCTTTTTCACATGAAACATTACAGCATGGGTAGGCAAACTAAGGCCCGGGGGCCAGATCCAGCGCAACTGCCTTCTAAATCTGGCCCGTGGACAGTCCGGGAATCAGCGTGTTTTTACATGAGTAGAATGTGCCCTTTTATTTAAAATGCACCTCTGGGTTATTTGTGGGGCATAGGAATTTGTTCATATTTTTTTTCAAAGTATAGTCTGGCCCCCCACAAGGTCTGAGGGACAGTGGACCGGCCCCCCGCTGAAAAAGTTTGCTGACCCCTGCATTACAGTATTGACGTCTTTTTTCTTAATTTATCTACTAAAATGTCTTATTTATCCTGTCCGGTTGCATTTATGAACAGGATGTTTAAAGAGTGGTAGAAAAGTAGAAATTCCCTACCTTTTCCATGTATGCTTAAAACCAGTGTCTTTGGTGAATGGGGGAACGCTATTGGCGGGGGAGAACCTAAAATACATCAGACTGGAATAATTTTCATGGGTCTTTTGATCCAGGCCAGAGGGCTCTAAATACACTGCCACAGCCTCTCGAGAATAATGTGTCACGTGACTCGAAACATCTTAGTCAATTAACTGGAAGTTTTCCAAAGCAATCTTAAGCATGTTTACTCAGAGATCAAGCTCTCAAAGTTTAGTGGGGCTTACTCTCTATGAAGCATGTTTAACATTCCAGCCTTCATCACTTAAATCTGCACACATTTCAATGCAAGTAGAACAATAGTTCTCAAGATGAAAGCATGCTTTGTTTTTCTATTATTCGTGCATCTGTCACAGCAGATACCACCTTAGCAGAAGCATTCCCACTGTATGAAAGAGAAGCAGAAATATTTATCCATAAATGATGCCTGCCTACCATATGAAAGCTAAAAATAAGTTTACAGTATCTTTTTTTTACTGAAATTACTGAAAATCAGAAGAGTTTATTGAGGAAGCTCATATATTGTTCTGCACCTATCAAAATAGTTGGGAAGAGAGAGCTGGGGAATATTTTTTAAATACATGGTTTGTATGCAGTCTCTCTCAGCCAGACTGATGTTGTCTTTTACAAGCAACCTATCTTTCCAATGCAGCATTTCCTGCAAACAAGAACATGCACAAGGCGCATCATACAGAATTACTACAAACAGATAACAGACAGCTGATTCTAGGTTTTAACTTTATGAATATTTTTGGCATCCGTCAGTTTCATGAAAATATGCAAAATGTGAACTTCACATGCACATGTAATACCACGTATCTGTAGATATGGTTTTATTGCTTTCTAGAAATTATGTTACTACTTTTAGAAATTGGGTTTAGTGTTTTTTCCTGTTTTTATCTTGTATACCACTTTGATGACCTCCAGCTGTAACTTATGACACGTTTCTGAATAGCCATCCATACTGAACATATGCATTGCATATTCACTCTTGATCTCTAGCATAAGAAGAGTTTGGATTTGATATCCCGCTTTATCACTACCTGGAGTCTGAAAGCGGCTAACATTCTCCTTTCCCTTCCTCCCCCACAACAAACATTCTGTGAGGTGAGTGAGGCTGAGAGACTTCAGAGAAGTGTGACTGGCCCAAGGTCACACAGCAGCTGCGTGTGGAGGAGTGGGGAAGCGAACCCGGTTCCCCAGATTACAAGACTACCACTCTTAACCACTACACCACACTGGCTGGGGTGGGGTACACTTTTTCTGTAATCTGCCAGTGGCTGAATACCAGCAGTGGTCAGAACATCTCTTTCTCTCTGCACACACACACACACACACACTCTTACCTCTTCCTCCCTGTTCTTCAGATTGCCTGGGGAGGGACAGGCCACTCTTAACCAAGTCCTTTTCTTCCATCTCCTTTCATTGTCATGTCCCACCCCCCTCCTGCCCTCCTCTTCTTTTGGGCTCCCAACACCTACATGAAATGTGACCAAGGGTTGTCCACATCTAATTTAGCATCACTAAGGACCTGCTCTTAGTAGAAAAGCTTTTTAAAAGAATAGGGATTTCATTTGTGTGGCTTTGAAACTGAAGGAGGCCATGTTCCTCAGGAAAAGAAGGGAGAGTAACATGATATGGAAAACACATTTTGATTACCTGCTGCTGGTAATTTAGATTGCAATAACCAAAGTCTGTGCTCTGAAGTGTTTACAATGTTATTACATATCCATATAGGCACTCCATATATTTATGATGCTAAAGAGGCCACTGCATATGCACTGAACTGTACTGCTCTCTCTAGTGTTGCCAGCATTTGCCATAGAAGTATGTCAAGAAATGGTGGTCAGTTTCAAACACCCCCCTCAGGCTATTGCAGCAGGCTTTGCTGAACAAAGTATATAACTCTTGTGGTCTAATTTTCATTACCTTGTCTAGTTGCAATCTCACTGAAAGGCTCCGATTCTTACCTAGATTCTAAACTGCTAAGGGCTTTGAAAGGTATTATCAAGAATCAGGTTCTCCCGTATTTTCCTCCTCCTGTGAACATCAGAGGTCCAGCTGGGCGCATCGCTGCTTCAAATGACAAACCTAGCAGTGAGCCATGAGGGGCACAGCCTCCTCCATCATAGCACCAGACCTCCGGCATATTATCTCCAGGAAAGTCTATCTGGTCTCACTGCCGTGTGTCTTTTGCCACCTGGCTAAAACACAAGATAGTAAGCTTCCTGAAAAAGCTAGCAGCAATGGGTTGCATTCAAAGTAGCAGTAAGGGAATAATCTGCTAGTGCAAGGATTTCTGCTTTCACATTGGAATGTTCTCCCCCACCCACGTGCCCCCTAAACATTCTAGGGTGTTCCCTCAACCCTCTAGAGCAGATTTGGGGAGGGTGCATGGTACAAGTGGGGAATTCTGTTGCACAAGCATAAATCCTTGCACTAATGAGTTAAAATGCAAATGCAAACAAGTACAGTCGTACCTTGGTTGACAAACGCCTTAGTTCTGGCTCCCGAATGCCGCAAACCCAGAAGTGAGTGTTCCAGTTTGCAAATGTTATTTTGGAAACTGAACGTCTGGCAGGGAAGCTCCTGCAGCCAATTGGAAGCGGCATCTTTGAAGTAAAATGCTTTGGAAGTCAAACGGACTTCTGGAACGCATTCCATTCAGCTTCCAAGGTACAACAGTACTGTATTTTTCTGCCTATAAGGCGCCCCCATGTATAAGACGACCCCTATTTTTTTGAACCCTTAATTAAGAAAGTCCTTGGTATGCCTTCCCCCCCCTTCTCAGTTTGATTCCCTGGCACCATATTTGTATAAATTAACTATCCCAAAATACAGACGTGCCTTCACACTGGCCAGATTACATGTGATGCCCTCTGCCGTACTGGAGGGCAGATACCAAAAGATTCCAACTGAGAAACGACTCTGCCCACGTGGAGATGGCAATCTGGAAACAGTGGCTCATGTTCTCCTGTCCTGTCCCCTTTATAAAGATCTGAGGAATGAGATCATCACCCCACTCTTACTTACCATCCCAGGCTGCCCATCTGCGGCCACATTGTTCTTTCTTTTATCAGATGAAAATGATCAGACAACAGCAAAGGTTGCTAGGTTTATCGAGGGTGCAATGAGATTAACGGCTACTATCTGAACGATAATCTTGGTCATCTGATTGTCCTTTTTACCCACTGTCTTTTTAATTGAATATATTGCTTGTTTTATGTTGCTATGGCCGTTGGCTAATGCAAATAAAGTTTATCTAATTAAGAAAGTGGGCCAGAGCCTGAGTCCAAACCTGAGCCCAAGCCCCTGTGCATTCACTAACCATGTATAAGATGACCCCAAATTTCTTACCAAAAAATATATAGCAAAAAACATAGTATTATACATGGAAAATTACACTACCTACATGACTCCTCAACTTATGCAGAGAGAATTGTACTCTAGAAATTTGAATGCTTTTTCCAGCTTCCATTTCCAGAATACTTTCAATCATTCACTGAAGAGATAGGCATTATTGCAAAACAGCTGTAAAATTTGTGAGTAGAGATGCTTTCTATATCTGGGGCAGGTATTAACTTCAGTTAGCAAAGCAGTTTTTCAGACTATTGAGGACAGCAGAATTTAACAGGGAAGCTTTTGCTTTTCTACGCCTGTATAAACAAACCTGACCAGGAAATACAGTTGCTCAGCAGAATACTTCTGTGGTTACCCAAGAGTAATATGTTTCTGGAGGAATATGGGGCGTTTCTGGCATGATGGTCTTTTGGTAGTATCTGTAAAGAGGACCAATGTGGGTGAAGCAAATGACAGAAGTTCATTCCCATGCCATAATCATGGGAATGAACCACTTTCACCATTGTGATTCTTTCTTGAAGATGTTTGTGTAGGATTCAGCCACAAGAAAGTGGCACACACCTCCCTGGTAGCTCATGAATAGGGTGTTACTCTGAAAATACCTGGTTGAGGGCCTAGCATGTAGATAGGCAGACTGCAATGTTTATGTCATAATGTCAGTATACTGTGCTATATACTTATGTGGTTCTACACAGACGGGTGCAGAGAATCCTATTTATCCTGCTTCTCAGGCATTGCAAACCAAGGATATTGGATTGGATACTGAAAGAAATTAAATGCACCGCACAGTAATTGCTGAGAAGACTACCATTTGTGTTCCCACTCTGGAATGCATCCGCAGTTGTTATTTCTAATGATCAATCATGCTGATGTTGTACAACATAGCTCCTCAAAAATAAGAAACTTTCAAGTGAATGTTTTAAAATTCATATATTATCCTTGAGACAGTTGAATATATGCCCACTGCTAAGACACAAGAGTCTGCTCCCATTTAAAAGGGGGGACGGGGACACAAACAGTAAAAAGGCCTTAAGATAGCAAAAACAATATAATTTAAAAAATCAAAACTCCAAACTCTGGACATCAATTTGTAATATATTGTTTTATGGGGGGGAAAATCTACTCCAAATTATGAATTAATGGACTTTGATTAACATTTAAGAAAAAGCCCAGAACAGTCTTTAGGAAAGCTTTGTGTTTTATCTTTAACTTGACAAATGAAAATGAATAAGCAGCTTCCATTTTAAACCAAGGTACTTCAGCGAAATGTCTAAGTTACCAGTGGCCTTTTGAACTACCACTCAAATTCAATTTTCTATTCTCATTTCAAATTCAGTCTTGTGAAAATATGTCCATTCGGCAAAAGCAGATTAAGAGGAAAATGTAACAGTCGAGCAACAGTGACATCGTTTGGTAACAGCAAATTAAAAACCATGGACAGCAATACTTGTTGGATGCTTAAAAAAAAATACAACCGGGGAGAAATTCACTGTACATTACAACTTTGAGGCTGTTAAAGTGACAAATCCAGACTGTACAGTGCAAGACATGCGTTTCCAGTTACAAATTCAAAATGGAAGGAGTGCAAAAGAAATTAAAGCTTTTTTTGTCTGAAATCAATTTACTTTTTATGATAAGGAACACAGTATTAGACAGTTATTTCAATGTAACAGTAAGGTCTTTCTCTCAACATAAACTTTTTAGAATTTGAACCATGCCTTAGGAAGCCTGTGTAATACGAAGAACAAATCGTTTTTATCCAATGTTTAATAGTCTTTGAACCGCTGAATCAGCATCAGTAGTGTATAATCAGAAACTCACAGGCTAAAGGAATCAACCTTTAGATAAAAGAGTACCTGCTATCTATAGGCAAGCAGAAGCAGCAAAATAGTCTGGCTTATATACTCTTGACAAAAGTAAGATAAAATGACCTTGCAAGAAAAGAAACAGCTCTGCTGAAAGCAAATGCAAAGTCATGGCTAAGGAACCAAGAAATTGCTGTACAAAAGGTGACAGAGGCCAACGATTTAATTGCAACTCCAGGCAAATGCTTTACCAAGCTGACTAAGAAATGCATGCGTCTCTCCATGCAAAGATAAAAATATGGCTCCAAATGCTTAGGAGGAGGGTATGCATTTGTGAAATCTAAACTGAAGTCCCTTGCCTGTTAAGTTTTACAAAAATATATATAGCCAATACTGTAAGCTTCAGAAGTCATATTTACTTGTTATGTTGACTCCCACATTTATAAGCTACTTTTCAGACATTCTAAACCTGGTCACTTGCAACAAAAAAGTCAACCTCCCCCCGCCAAAAAAAACCCCACAAGATTTTCAAAAAGTGGTTCTTTCAAGTGAAGAGAACATCTGCTGTTTATCCACTTTTAATCTTCTAGCCAATTAAGCCTGGGTTATTTAGTATACTCATTTACAGGAACAGATGCATAAATATAAGTTTCACTTTAATAGTCATCTGCACAGAAAAGGAAAATTAACTTTTCAAAACGTGATAGAGCAGGTCTGGTTAGTACAAATCTATGGCAAGTTATAATGATTCTGTGCCGTAGGCCCACTCAAACAGAAGCAGGGCAGGTTTGGGAAGAAACATCTCAGCAACGAGAGAAAGTTGTTCAAGTCTATGGTGTTCTGAAGAACCAGCAGCCTAAATGACACCATGCTCTGAATAGCGGTATCCAGACCAGACAACCTGCTTGGGCTACTAAAGCAGTACATCCTCCTGGAGGTGTCATTTATTCCAAAGTTATTTATTATTTCGAAGGCGTTTAGACTTCCTAAGCGCACCTATTGATTCGACAGCCTTCTTCCTTTTCCTAGGAGTCTCCTCGCTTGGTGCTGACCCTGAGGAATTTCCCACTGCGCTTTCCATAACCTCTCGCAGTTTACGTTCGAGCTCAGCCAATCGGGCATTCTGCTCACCTATGATCTGGGTTTGCTCAAGCAGTTTCTGATCTTGATCTTGCAGCTGCTTCTGTTGCTCTTGCACTTTGGTGCGAAGCTCCGATATTTCGCGCCTTAGCACAGTCACACCTGCACCGTTGGTTTTCACTTGCTGCTGGAGTTTGGTGACCTCCTGCCTCGATGGGTTTTGTTTGGAGAAGAGCTGCATTGTTGTTAAGGCTGCAGAAGGACCTGGAACTGCAGGAAGAGAAAATTTACATTTCCCCCCGTCTCATTTCAGATTTTGACTTGCACTCAGCCTTCAAAACAAAGCATCAAGGTTTGCAATGTGAACAAGCAAATCTATAACTATTCCCCTGCATATAAACAAAATTTAATGCATGCGCAAGACTTGAGCATATTCACAGATTTTTACATTCCTGCTTAACAGGTAAAGAGGAAAGTGCTGTTTAGAGACACTCCTACTTGCAGCCAGCAGAACAGGTTGCCCTTCAAGTGAGCACACCCCTTAAATATTGTTTCAACGTTATGTTACCAACTGTATACAGTGGTACCTCGGGTTAAGTACTTAATTTGCAGTGGCATAGCGTGGGTTGTCAGCACCCGGGGCAAGGCAAGTAATTTGCGCCCCCTAACCCGTGGATTTGCGCCCCCTAACCCTAACCCCCAGATGTTGCGCCCGGTGCGGCCGGCCCCCCCCTGCACCCCCCACGCTACGCCACTGTTAATTTGTTCCGGAGGTCCGTTCTTAACCTGAAACTGTTCTTAACCTGAAGCACCACTTTAGCTAATGGGGGCTCCTGCTGCTGCTGCGCTGCTGGAGCACGATTTCTGTTCTCATCCTGAAGCGAAGTTCTTAACCCGAGGTACTATTTCTGGGTTAGCGGAGTCTGTAACCTGAAGCGTATGTAACCCGAGGAACCACTGTATTCTGCCCTTAAATATTACACCAGGTATGTTGGAGGCCTTTTACATTTTAGCCCAACTATTTCAGGAACTCCTCATAGTAAACAAAAAAGCCGTGTTAACAGATGTTGGTTGCATGGGTCTCTCTTATGAAATCAGCATTCATGGGAAACAGTCACTTCAGTAATCACGACCCACATAATCAGCCCCCAGCAATATGGTTGTCATGTCATTGAATGTTACCCAAGCCTTGCAGTAATTGTTTCCAGTAGAGTACCTGAATAACATTCTTAAGAACTAACCTCATGCTTCCAGACCTGCCTATAAGCAAAGTAAAATTTAGTGCTGGAAAGTGAGATACGGCTGCTGCCCTCTAAAGGTTGACTTTAAGTATAAAGAGTGAATTATTTGGGCAAAAAGTAAACACTGCTTTGTTTTAGGATTCAAGTTTGGTTTTACTGGCCAAAGTTGTACACAAAATAGAAGACTGTAGGAAGCATATCGTATATAGAACAGAAGGAAGGAAGGATATAGAGGAAGCAAAGCCAAGTTGATTTATATTCAATATCTATTTTGATAGCTAAAAATCTCTTGGCATTTTACGTGAAAAAATATTTGTAATTTGGTTATTAAAAAGAGACTTTGAACAGGTATAGAGTGAGTGAGGCTATCCTAAGACTTTAAAGAATTTTAACAGCTCTAGTTTGGTAAGAATCGTGGGGGTTAATAAAAAGGTTTGTTATTAATTTACACTACTGTACACTTTTCTATTTTAATTATTGATGTATTGTTAGAAGAGTTCTATATTATCAGTTATTCTGTTTGTATTATGTTCTGTTGCTACTATATACTGGGAAGGCTATTGTATTGTATATTCAGTGCTTTTTTTATAGAAAAAAAAGTGCTGGTACTCAACCATGAAGTTGTTACAGTAAGTGCTACACTTTTAATGGGGGAGGGAGGTGCACCAGTACTGCATACTCTTGAGCACCCCCAGAAAAAACACTGGGTATATTAATTTTACATCATTCAGTAATTAGAGTCTATTATCAACCCCAAATCCAAACCTAAAGAGGATGAGAGCTAAAGGCCTCTATTGCAAAGCTGGAATTCCAGATAATAAACTAGCAAAAAACAGAGCTTGACAAGACATTACACTGCACTAGAGTTTTTGCTTTAAGGGAGAAAATTAGTGCACAAGAAATAATTACCGGTACCTCCTACTGCCTAATCATACGATAACACCAGGACAGTATTCTAGAAAGTAATTTAATTTCTGACTGTAGGAGTATCAACCTATCATTAAGGGAGAGCAGGAAAGGTGTGCTCCACCCACCAAATCAAAAAGTGTAAATTTCCATCATAATTTAGGTCATGGCGCTGCTTTTCCTAATGCAATGTTAAGGAAAAATTAGGCAACAACAATAATAATAAAAATAATATATTATCATTATCACCATCATCATCCCAACCCATCTGGCTGGGTTGCCCCAGCCACTCTGGGCAGCTTCCAACACATATAAACACACTTACTGGGATGGAATGGGGATAAAGCATGATGGCAGTGAGGATACAGTGGTGCAGGCTCACTGGCAGAACCAATCTGGTGCTTCCAGCCATGCATACATCAATATGAAGTTACTTTCAGTAGTACAAAAGACATTAATATAAGCAAGATAACCAAAGAAGGAAGGTTCTTCCTTTTAGAAGCCATTGGATTGGATCCAAAGGACACCTCTGTTCACAGAAGCGCCTTCAATCCTGTGGAGAGTTCTAGGAACAGAAGTGGGTGCAGTGGGTGGGGGGAGAGATCTCCACCTATACTCCCTTGCGGCTGCTGCAAACCACTTCCCACCCTATTCCAAAGGAAGCAGAGCAGATTTGTGGGGAATATAGAGTTGGGGTGGGGAAAATTATCATCCTTCCCCCTTCCATGCACATTAACTGGAAGCACACTTTCCACTAGCAGAATGCTTCTCACTTTTTCTCTGGATCCTTCAAATAGTTTCTATTTTAAAACGTTCTGTTCTGTTTTAATATAGTAATGGAACACCCTTTTTTAATGATAACATTCAGAGGAAACAAAAATCACAAGAAAGTGGAAGTACTATAGCTTCCCACTGGCTGCATAATGTACAAAGACTCAGAGCATACATGAGGTACCTGGAGCTGCCGCTATAAGCCGTCCTGATACATCTGATCCAGGCAATTTTCTTTTTAGAATTGGAACAATCTTCTCATCAAAATATTCCATTGCCATCGATGAAATGTCCCTTAACTCCTGAAGGACTTCGTGGGCTCTCTGGGGAGCTTTGGTAGAGTTTACATACCTTAACACACGATAAATTTCATCAATTACCTAAAACAAACGAGAAAAGTTGAGACATGGCGACTGGCAAAAGCTAAGAGTAGCATATCCTTTAATAATGTCTAATTTCCACAGTGACTTAAAATTATTTTAAAAGTAATTGAAAGGTACTTGAAATTATCTTGAGAACAACTTATGAGTCATTTACCATTTTATTTACAAGCAATGCAATTCACATTTTAATCAATGTTTTATAAATAGTTTCAGCTAGTACATTTACATACCATATGATCAAAGCCCTAATAAGTTGTTAAGCCAATCCGTTATTAACAAAGGAACAGCATTTGGATAAGAACCATCTGAGATAAGCCTACAGAAGGTTCTGAATTTCCATCAGTGGCTCCTCAAAACAAAGTTTAGCCCTAATGACTTATTCCATCACACTTAAATGCAGCCATCTTTTGGACTTTACCTTCCCAGGTATAAAGCAGCAGAGGTTAGAATCCACATACTTCATGAAGGTCATATTTAGCAGGGACAGCCTTGTTTCTACAGCAGCAAGAATGTCTGCATGGCGAGCTAGCGAGTGATTTCTCCGTTCCGATTCCCGTCTACAAAGACACATCCAAGACAGTGAGAAACACGGCAGAGATCTGCAGGACAGGTGGAGCAATATAGTCTGGAAGTTTACCAGATTCTGTCACCAAAAATGATGTGTGCTTTAAGAAGCCGTTCCATTTTTTTCCATTCTAGTTCAAAATAATAATGTTTATGACTCAATCTGCTTTTATATAGATCCAACAATTTTCCTATTATTTTCCAAGTAATTTTCAGACATGGGTGAAACTAAAGAGCCTTGAGTTTCCTTGAAAAGTAGATGGAGTACTTTAAAAATAAATACATGAGGAAAATGCATTGCTAGAACATCGCTCATAGCCCTCCTTTGCTCACCACCATTGCCACACTTGCATGAGTCCAAGAAGAATTCCAACAGCAGTTTGATATTTCACACTATAGCATAAGAACTGGATACAGGTGACATTGCGTATGCTATCAGTTCAGCACCTAATGTGAAGATACCAGAAGCTGTTGCTAATTTAATTCAACAGTAATATCCTTCTCTTTTTTCCACACACTCCCTGCTGCAAGGCCCATTTCCACCTGGCCTAGTGGGCAGCCCCAGACTCCCAGGAGCTTCTTTTAACTGTTCAGGGTGAGTCTGGGCCCTGCCCCCTTTGCCATGTGGAAATGGACCTTGCAGTACTCACGGCAGCAGCAATGTCCCTCCAGCCTCCCATGTCAGACCTATGTTATAGCCCAGGGATGGGTTAGGGCAGGGGTCAGCAAATGTTTTCAGCAGGGGGCCAGTCCACTGTCCCTCAGACCTTGTGGGGGGCCAGACTATATTGGGGGGGGGGGAATGATCCAAGAGCACCATGAACCCTGGTGGCTGCTTACCTGTCTTGCGAGTGGCAGGGGCAGGAGGGATGATGAGCGGCGTGCAAAAGGGCTCCGGAGAGGGGCTGCTTAAAATGGTGGCCACTCAAGCACTGCTGCTGCTGGCACCAACAAAGCCCAGTCCCCTTCCTCCTCTAGGCAGGGCGGGGACAAGCCAGGAGGAGGGAGGGAGGAGGCGCCGCCACCACCACCGAGGGAGGGAGAGGGAAAGAATGTGCACGCTGGTGATCCACACGGCGATTCCCAGACCGTCCGCGGGCCAGATCCAGAAGGCAACTGGGTCTGATCCGGCCCACAGGCCTCAGTTTGCCTACCCATGGGTTAGGGATTGATTGTTTCTCTCTCCAAGCCAAATTTGGCAGTTGGGCGGGACATCGCCTGACATTATGAGACCCATTTTTGCCCACATGGCTTGAAATCAAAAGGCACAGGTAAGGGCACAGCCCACAAAGCGCTGACTGATCAGCTGATCTTGGGAAGCCCCATGCACAATGCTTTGCGGGTGCTGCCAGTGCGTGTCTGCAAAGACATGTTCAACTTAGCCATGTTTTACAGTAATATGTGATGTCGAGTGTAGGGCAGGTGGATGTTGCTTGGCTAAAATAGCCTTGCAGGTCAAAGGGAGAGGCTTGGCACACCTAATTAGGCCCACAGACTGGAGGTTCCCCACAGCAGTTCTAACTTTCTGATCCCAAATGGGACCCTCAGGCAGCTTACAAATGTACTAAAAAATGCTAGACGTTGTATATGAAGATAATGTATTAGAATAAAGCACAGAGATAAGACAGTAAAGAACTCAAAGTTGTTTACCAACCTGAGAGCCCTGCAAAACAAGAGATTTTAACCAGCTTTTTGAATGCTATGGGAGTTGAGCTGGAGTTTTCCTGGGGAGAGAGAGTACCATATAGAAGGTGTTACCATTCAGGAAACGCTGAACTTGGGAGGTGATTTCCTTGACCTTAAATGGCTGTGGCTTCCATAGAAGGGCCTCAAGTTGTACATTTGAGAAGCTAGTGCTTCAACATTTCTCTGTAAGTGCCTCCGTTTAAAATCAGTTCTACCTCTGGCAGTGCTGAGAAGCCAAAAAACCAGCATACAGAATGATAACCTGCATTAAATACCGTACATAAACCAGGATATAGAGCGATGTGGAAGGCACAGTCTTCTATACAGGGGCTTTTCAATTCCCATATGTAGCCCTGCTCTCGTATTATTTTTAAAATTTACACACACACACCCTTCAGTGGCCAGTGGGTATATGCAAACAAAACTCACTATCCTATTCCAGTGTGTGCCATGCAATTTATAATCCCACTGACCTACAGCAGGGGTAACTAACACGATGCCCGCGAGATGTTTTGACTACAACTCCCAAGCAGTCTTCGCCAGTACAGCCAAGGGCCAGGTAATTATACTTCAAAACATCTGGAGGGTCCCAGGATGGTGAAAGATGACTTACAGTATTACTATAGGATATCACTGATAGCGCCTGTCTTCTCCAAAGGCAAGACAGGCAGTGACACTCAAGCAAAATGAGAGCCTAGGGCCAAGCAGAGGGGGAAAAGTCAACCCAAACAGAAAATCATTCAAGGTACAGATTGTTTGTGCTGTACTTTTGTACTGTTTTATTGTTGTTAGCCGCCCTGAGCCCGGCTTCGGCTGGGGAGGGCGGGATATAAATAAAATTTATTATTATTATTCTGCTGCAGCGCTAAGGTGCACAAACAGGACTGGTAGCTCATTCTTCATGCTCTATGCAGAACCTTGACTACTGTCACAAATCCATCAGGCACAAGCAGGATATATTCTTTAAATATTTGTTTCACAACCGGTTGCAAAGCAGCTTTCCTTATATAATCTTCTTGCAAATACAGATTTTTAAGGAGTATTACTTCTGACCTTGTGGTAAGCACATACCTTGGGAGCTGTGCTTTAACCTGTTTCTGGCACAAGTTGTGGTATCTTTCCACTTTCAGAAATCCCTGATTCAGCATTCTCTGGCAGACCAAGTCCATTCGCTTACAAACCTACATTGAAAATACAAAAACAAAACTCAAGGTGTCTTCTTTAGTAGTTAATAAGCTGTGAGCCCCTTTTATGATTAACCAGTTTGTCTTAAGGCTACACAGCACAATTTGAAATGGGGCCGCTTCCAAAGATTACAAAACCGTCACTTTGCCCGTTCCAAATAATTTGTTCCAAAGCTCCAACTCCAGAACATGTTTACCGCTCACATGGTGTGGATGTTGATGTCTTAACAAAAAAAAATCCATGCTTTCTGGTGCATGAATAAATTCTCAAGTGGTGTAACACTCTTCTTAAATGGATTCTTTTAAAATTGTAACATTCACTTCAATTCCATTTATTATATGTTTATTCCACTCTTTCATCTGCCAAAGGAGCTCATAATCAAAAAGAAGCTGAGGCACATGCTCAGGTTTACAGACTAAAAGGTAAGTCACACAAAAGGAAAAGGTGTGGAGGGAAAAGAGAATAGCAAAAGATCAAAAACAATGCCAGAACAAGGTAGAAAGTTGTAAAGGTGCAAGTAGCTGCTGCTACTGCTGTGAGTAGATTGTCTCGCCAGAGTAGTGCATGCTCTGGTTATCTCCCGCTTGGACTACTGCAACGTGCTCTACGTGGGGCTACCTTTCAAGGTGATTCTGAAACTGCAATCCAGAATGCAGCAGCTAGACTGGGGACTGGGAGTGGCCGCCGGGACCATACAACACCGGTCCTACATTGGCTCCCAATACGTTTCCGAGCACAATTCAAAGTGTTGGTGCTGACCTTTAAAGCCCTAAACGGCCTGGGTCCTGTATACCTGAAGGAGCATCTCCACCCCCATCGTTCAGCCCAGACACTGAGGTCCAGCTCCGAGGGCCTTCTGGCAGTTCCCTCACTGCAAGAAGTGAGGTTACAGGGAACCAGGCAGAGGGCCTTCTCGGTAGTGGCGCCTGCCCTGTGGAACGCCCTCCCATCAGATGTCAAGGAAATAAACTGCTATCTGACTTTTAGAAGACATCTGAAAGCAAACCTGTTTAGGGAAGTTTTTAATGTTGGAAGTTTTATTCTGTTTTTAGTCTTCTGTTGGGAGCCACCCAGAGTGGCTAAGGAAACCCAGCCAGATTGGTGGGGTAAAATAAATAAATAAATAATCTGGCATTTCTATTCAGATGGGGCACGGTGACCTTCCCTCACTGTTCTTGCCTGAACAGAGATGGCCAGGTACCTGGCAACCCGGCTGATGACAAAGGCCAGTGTCCCCTTTCACTTTATTCTGCCCTCCCAAGACAACCATCAGTTGGAGCAGACACAGTTCTGGCTGGCAAGAAGGGGACAGGAAGGTACTGGTATATTTTCTTTAGATGTTCCTTCTTTGGTCAATGATGAGGGCCAAGCCAGTTTGCCCACTGCCATGAAAGGGGGGGGCAATTATCCTTGTTCCTTTGGCCATTGGCAAAGGACACAGTCGGCTTCCTCTCTGACCACTGGAGTTGCTTGCACAAAAACTATTTCTAAGCTTTCAGTGATACAAAGCTACTGAACAACACACCTACTGGGCATGAACCGGGTGGCAGCTGAAGATTTGTTTTCTTTTAGATTTTAAGAAGAATGCAGAGAAACTGGAGAAGTTTATGAAGAAAGCAGAGATGACTAAAGGTTTATAAACACCATACACATGAGGCAAGACTGAAGAAACAGGTTCTGTTTATCCCAAAGAAAAGCTGAAAATACACACCCGTACCAGAAAAATTCAGGAAAGATCTTGAGGAAGACAGGAGGGGGAAAAACAACCATCAAAGGAGAGCAAGAAGACCAAAGTCATTTGGCTCTCCTCTCTCAGACATTTAAAACAAGGAGATTTTGTGAACCACTCTGAGATCTTTGGATTAAGGGTGGTATATAAATTTATAAAAAAAAATATTATGAAGTCTAACACAGATTGACCTGGCCTTCCAAAGAGACACCAAGCAAGAGTTATAATCAGAAGCAATATACATATATTATTAAAATTACTTCTAGCCCATCTTTCTTAGTGCAGTTTTGTAGCACAAACAATAAAATGCAGTAAAACCCAAAATATGTTCATAGTTGTGTTATCAAGTAAGTTGCTGAAGGAAGTTATTATTACTTATTACTGGCCAGGTAACTTCCATCTTTTGAAAAAGAAGCAAGGTTCTGAAAGGTAACACGGAAAGAACGTGAACTCCTGGGGTGGTTGGTTTAAAAGGCTGCTCTGCTCTGCACTCAATATACACTACAGAAAGGCTTTGTTTTTATCTGCATTGTTAAATATATTTTCATCTACGTTTCAGCAAAAGAAACTTCTTTGTTTTTTACCTGAAACTAACAATACGTCCTTGAAAACAGTTACAGCATCTTTCTCTGAAAGTTATACTCGAGCACAAGAAGTTTATAACGTTATGTGCCAATGTAACGTATTCTACAAATCAGGGAAGTTTCTTAATTTATACTGTAAAGTCTCTGATCTTGGAACCTCCGGTTAAATGTAGCATGCCGATCTAAGCTTTCCCCGACATAAAAGAGATTGAAAGTAGATTGCAAGCCAAATGAACAACTTGATGTACTAATGCTTTGCGTGTTGGAAAAACACTGGGTTCAGACAGCACCTAGGTGCCTAGAAAACATACAGTTCGTGACATGTATAAATGTTTGGAATATTCCCATCTCCCCTGGGCAAGCATCTCTGAAACAACTGTATTGGCTTCTACAAATGTGGTTTGACATCTATGAATCAGAAATAATTTCCAATGTTGCCGCAGCACAAAAGCCATAGCTGTCAACTTTTCCCTTTTCTTGCGAGGAATAAGGGAATTTCTATTCGGAATAAGGGAATTCCCCTTAAAAAAGGGGAAACGTTGACAGCTATGACAAAAGCACACACAAAAGCAAAAGAGAGAAAAACCCAGCACTGCCCATGTCATAATTTAATGTGAATCTTCTCCACCCACTAACTTCAAGTAGAGTTCCTTGATCTACACATTAGGCAATATATGCGTACCCTGACACCTAGTGGCAAAGCAGAATACTACAACCTCAGTCAAAATCTACCTGGGAACATAGAAACAAAACCGGTTCTGTTCATTAATGCTATAGAATTCCACACATAAGCAGTATGTGTAGGGATGAATAAAGGGGCAGCTAGGTTTGCAGACTGACACCCACATATTCAGGGAGTTAAATCCTACACAACAAAGGATCTCCAAAAGGCTGTATCCCAACTCAAACGATAAAATGGTGGATGTGACTCATGTAAAAGGTAAAAGACCCCTTGACGGTTAAGTCCAGTCAAACTTGACTATGGGGTGCAGCACTCATCTCACTTCAGGCCAAGGGAGCCAGCGTTTGCCCGCAGACAGCTTTTCTGGGTCATGTGGCCAGCATGACTAAACTGCTTCTGGTGCAACGGGACACCGTGACAAGCGCCAGAGTGCATGGAAACACCATTTACCTTCCCGCCGCAGCGGTACCTATTTATCTACTCAGCTCAGACATGCAATTTTGGGTGTTTCGGCAGCGGGGGAGCAAGATTCATAGTTCACTCTTTAGTATATTCAAGATCAAACCACTAAAACAAAAGGATATAGTTTAACAGTGTTTGTGGAAGTTACTTTAATTTTTCAGCCCAATATTATTACTGAGAAAAAAACACACGTGGTCTGAAATTGGGGGATCCCTGAAAAGTGCCCTTACTAAAGCTACACAGAATATTTTGGGGTCACAGCATGTCTCCCAAAAGATGCCAGTTCAGAATGCTGCAATGGAGGTGCGAGGAGTCAAAGCCAATGTCAGAAACTATTAGGAAAGATACTGAATATAAAACAGCAAAAAACTTTAATGACACTTCTATGTGAAATGTGATGCACCCATATTTGAAATATTATATGCAGCTGCATCATAGAAAAGGTATTCCAGAACTAGAAAAATTACACAGGGCCTACCAAAATAACCAGAGTAATAGGATGTTCCCTATTAATTCCAGAACAGCAGAATATGTAATTTGTTAAGGCAGAAACAACCAATTCATTGCAGTATGAATTTTAAAGTTACACTCTACTTCATCAAACACGTGAAGTGGCCCACACACTTGATGAAGTAGGCCTTTGACAATACCTTTCAGTCAAAGAAAGCACTTCACCTTATGAACTTGCGGAGTTAAGCACCACAGAACATTATGATGGCACCGGCAAAGGCCACTTTTCAAGAAGGACTGAATCAATCAAGGATAGATACTGATTATAATAGCTTGAAAATGGAACCTAAATGGTAGTATGCTTCCAATTACCATTTGTTGAGATAGGCTTCCACAGAGTAATGGACCAACTGAATGCTGAAGGCAGAATGTCGAGTTAGGCAGATCTTTGATCAGACACAGAAGAATAATGCAGTTTAGAGAACAACTGTAGTTAAGTGGTATATAAATGGTTTAAATAGCCCTGGAATCTTTTTATACCATTATGCTACCCAATTCTCTTACATTTAAGAAATCTTTTCACTTCCCCCTCCCCATTGACTCTTCCTCATTTACCTTCCTTCCCTTTGCTCCAATGTTTCACTTGATTGCTTACTTAATTACTGCCTCTGCATTTATACAGCTGCTCTATAACAGGAGTTCTCTAAGCGGCTCACAAAACAAAACAAAACAAAGCAAAACAAAACAAAACAAAACAAAACAAAACAAAACAATACATGCACTTTAAAATGAAATACAGAATAAAATTGCAACAAATTCCTTTGCAAAAATCAAAACAATTAAAACATAACTTTGTATGTCTAGTCTCTGATCAGATGGTAAGCCTACAAGGAGGGTCTGGTCTAGTTCACTGAAGATTTTTGCACAATATCTAATGGGTTTAGATCTTTAAATTACAATAAAGCTAATTCCCCAAATCCAAGTCTATAGTTGTACAAGCACAGTATGGCACTGCTGTCATTTTTAGAGAGGCTGAATCAAGTGATGTCAAGCATGTGTCCAAAGTCTAACCCCACATCAAGTTTAAGACAAATCCCCTTCTTGTTCCACTGCCTTCCTATCTCCAGTCCCTGCTGCATGAATGACTAGTTTTGAGAGAACATAGATGAAATTCTTGTCTAATATCCAACTGACGCCACTATCTCAAAAAGGCCCAACTTGCCATGTTTGGAAATTTCACAGTCAATAAACCTAAAAAGCAATCAAAACTGTGAATAAAAGAGTGAGTGTTTTTCTTACTAGTGCCAGATAGAAGCACCCCCAAAAAATAGGTTTAGCCAAGTTTTTATACGGGGGGACTGTAAGAGAAAACGAGCTAAGAAAACCAGTTTAAAAGAGATGAAGATTGTGATCTCCCCCTCCACCCCAGAAAAAGCTCTCAAGAACAGAGCTGTCCTCTACTAAAGACAATGATCAATTTACGCGCGTGCTTTGAGGTGACACAAAAGTGGCTGGAAAAGGGCAGCACAGGCTTATGAGGTCTCCACCATCACGTGTGATGACCTGGAATGCAATCCCCATGCAAATTGGGGGTTGCCTGTACTAAGTGTAAGTCAGAAGAACATCTAAGAACATAAGAGCCTGGCTGGGACAGGCCAATGGCCCATCTAGTCCCATCATTCTGTTCACACACTGACCCACTAGATACCGGTGGGAAACCAGCAAGCATGATTCACACATAAGTGCTCTCCCTCTTCCTGTGGTTTCCAGAAACCAGCATTCAGAAGTATTGCTGCCTCCAAGTGTGGTGGCAGAGCAAAGCCATCATGGCTAGTAGACAGAAGCCACACACTTTGATAGGTCTGTGCGAAGATGTGCCTGGACACTTGAGAAACTTTCTGGAATAGCCTCGTGCACAAGAACAGAAAGCATGAATAACAACTGGCACACATAAGCATTGGACAATTGTGGCATTGGGAGTGGGGACAAGATTGTACTCTTCACTAGCTAGTATAAAGCTGAAAAAATAGCTGCCAGGAGATCCTATAACCTCAAGAAACAGAGAATTATGGACGTCTATTCTTTGTGGCAAACACTATTTCATGAACACCTGAATGCAGTCTCCAGGTAGCCCTGCCGTACTTAGAATACCACCCTGGTATGTGGGCATCTCAAAGGCTACTCTAGCATTCGGTGCAATGTGGTTGCCTTTTGTCTGGAAGGTTTGGCTGTTCAAAGTACAGCAGTCAACTTCCAAAGATGGTTGAGACACTAAGTACTTATGCCACTATCTGCACTTCTTTTTGTCTTTTGAAGTCCATTCAATTGGCTTGTTTTGCACCATGAGGCCCTTACTTTCACCTTCCAAGTATTTCTGGATATAATCCTTATGCTCCACTGAACACTTTTCAAGGGGACAGAAGAAGCTAAACTAGACTGTTGGCTCAGTGACAAGCCAAGGCAGCAGCTCTCAGGAACCATACAGCAAACCAGCGAGCAACTTGGCCAGCTACATGTACAACTTTAGTAGTGTCTATGCAGGTGCTCCCTTCTTTTTGAGTGCCACTGGTTATGAGCAATCGCTACCCACCCCAGACAACTGGAGTTCTGCCAGCCACCAAATTCTGGCTTGCTTTGAAGCCATTAAGGTTTGCACACAATTGGAATCTACGATTATCTACAGCTTTCTGGTTCGTTTCCCCGTTTGTGTGAAGGGGCTGTGTACAGGGGCAGGAAGCTCATCCACACTGCATTTTAAATTAGTTGGGTCTCTCATATCTTTGTCAGGATATAGTTAGTGATGTTACAATGCAGGAGCAGGAGGTGGAGAATCTAAATTACATGCCGAGGTGATGAATTCCACAACCTGTATAAATTACGCAAGTCTGTATGATCTCTTGTATTTTGCAGAATTGTTTGTTCTGCTTCCGCTAGTCACTTGAGGCAAATGGTGGAAAGAAGCTTTGCAAGGCATTGCAGAGGCAGCACCCGACTCCTGAGAATCACCTCCAATGATCCTTTTGGCTTCTGCTGCGTAGCCAAGATTTATCTACACTTTCAAACGCAACTTTGCAACCATAAGCAACAAAAACTGGCCTTGGGGAGATTCTCTTTTTTTAAAAGAATCCTTAGGTTAGAATGTTAGGTAAGCTAGATTCTAGAGCTTTCCTGCAATTCTACGCAAGTGCTGAGTAACTCACAGCCTTGACGTTTCTTTAAAAATGCAAGAAGATCCCTGCAGGAGCTGGTTTCAGTGCCTCCTGCAGCGGTATTTACGGTAAATCTTTCTGAAGGGCTTCAGAGATGCAGCCCCTGCCCCCATGCATTCCTTCGGATCAGGATACTTCACTGTGCTGGGAAGTATAGTAATTATAAATATCTGAAAATCAGTAACAAGAAGCATAGTCAAGTTGATGCCATCTGGATGCTATCAAACAGAAGTGTTTTGAGCATGTACACTGAAATAATGTATTAATCCCTGTTACTCTAAACTAGCAGGCTTGTATTTATAGTTATTTATTTAATGGATTTATACTCTGCTCTTTGAAAAAGGACTCCACAGAGCAGCGTACAATATTTCAAAGTACAAATCCATAACACAAAAACATTTTTTAAGAAATAGCAACAATAAACATCAGTATAAAATAACAATAGCTTATGCAAAACCCAGTTAACTACCCTCATTTATATTCTCAATCAAACGCAGATACCAAGTCATTCAGTGCTTCAAAGCACTTTGAATTTGGCCTGGAAACTCACTGATAATCATTGCAACTGACACAATATTTGGATAACACCTCCAGATTTTTGGCCCCTGCCAAGAACCAGGCAATCACATTCTGTACTAGTTCAAAGTTTCTAGACTTTCTTCAAAGGCGCATTACAGTAGCCCAGTCTTAATGAGACAAGGGCATGGAGAACTAATATGAGATCTGACTTTCATCTTGTCTGGATCAAGCTACAGCTTGTTCTTTCTCATCCATTCTTCGACAGCCTCCAAGCACCAGCTTAAATATACCTCGGCATGCCTGGGGTGAGCGGATAGAGTCAAGAGTCAGCTACATATTGATCAGCACAGGATGTAAACACGGTGCCAAAGAGTGTCAAAGTCATGTTCGCCTCTGCTTCCATTATCTTAGTTGAAGCTACTGGTACTGAACAGAATATGGTGTCTGGAATCACCCACCCATTATCCAGTTTCTCTCCTTTGCTCTTCCAGAGCAGTCCTGGGGTTCACAAATGAATAACAACCTAGTACCCAGTGTGCGTACCCATGTGCCATGGAGGTTGTTGCTCAAATCCCACAAATTGAAAGCACCTTGTGCACTATGGATGTCAGCACACCACTATAAAGTGAAAGAACACAACAGGGCAATTAAACAAGGCATCTTAAACACATACAAATACTCCAATATTTTCAAGGTGCATTTTTATATATGAGAAAGGGGTGGCTGGGATCAGAAGTTTAGTAATTTTCCGTTCTGTTTCTTTGTACTCATCACCTGTTTCATAAGCCTATTGTTGCACATGTTGTTAATACTAAGGTTAAAATCAGAACAAGGAAAACACATAAGAACTACTGCTCATGTTCTACCATGTATTCATCTGTCTGTTGAGAAGCTGCCTGAAATTGGTAGTAGAACACTTTCCCAATAACTGGATATTTGCTTGTTTAGTTGCTTAATTTTTTCTGCTTAACTTGCTCTTCAGTAATTCCTCACATCTGCATGTTTCAGAATCACCAGATGGAGAATTGTTACACGATAGGAGGATTATCTTAACTGCGATAGAAGATGGGAGCCCAGAATGATTATCTCCATTCAATCTTTGTAACAAAGAGCATGGTCTGAACTCTTTGGGCAAAATACTGCTGAGTGGGCAGCGTCATGGCCAACAGCAAAATCAAGTTGCATATAAGGCAGTAGGGCTTTGTGCTGCAGGAGCCCAAGGCACCTAGAACAAAACCTAAGACCGTCCTTCCATCTGTCTCACTTCTGAGCAGGGCAGCTTAGTTACTCTCATACATATCCTTCAAATAATCAATTCCCCCTTGCACAGGAGGGACACTGTGCTTCAAAAACACTCAAATAAATATAAGCACAACTGTTTTTGCCACTTCTATTAGACAGAGAGGAGTAAACTGCACAAGGCGCTCCCAAGCTGCACTATGGGAACACGGCATAGGGCCATCTCTGCTCCAACAAACAAATGGGACAAGTACAGTGGTACCTTGGTTCACAAATGGCTTAGTTGTCGAAGAAATCAGCTCCCAAATACCGCAAACCCGGAAGTGTTCCGGTTTGTGAACGTTTCTCGGAAGCCAAACATCCGACGCAACTTCTGCTTGAGTGCAAGAAGCTCCTGCAGCCAATTGGAAGCCGCGCCTTGCTTTTCGAACGGTTTCGGGAGTCGAACAGACTCCTGGAAAGGATTAAGTTTGAGAACCAAGGTATCACTGTACTGGAAAAGGAAACAAGTTGGGCAACTGTACCTTTTAGACAGCTAGTATGGGTTTATCAGATTTGCATTATATACCATGAATACAATCAACTGTATATGATTAATTCCACTCTTCAAGCCACTGAAGCAAGAAGGAATCTTACTTGGATCTTTCCCGTCAATTGCTATGCACTGTGAAGCAGATAGAATGTTTGGCTGCTTAGCTACATCAGTTTGATGCCTACGTAAACACATCAGCTGAGAAAAGAGAGGGTTTGGTGTTTGCTTCACAATATCAACTAGAAATCCACTGTTACTTTCTTATAATGCATTAATATTTAACCCAAGCTAGTTTTTCATAGCACAGTGATGAAGTGGCCAACGCAACTGTCTTTTGTAGTAGCCAGTGCTTTTTTCTAAAAAAAATGTTTGGGGGATACTCTCATTTCCCTATTCATATTGAAATACTGCCCCTCAATGAGGCCAAACTTCACAAAATGTTTAGGGGTATGTGTACGCCCAGAAAAAAAAGCACTGGTAGCAGCTTCTGTTTAGCAAGGAATCTCAGCTACACCAATTCTAATAATATTTAAGATAAATTAAGAATGCCATTCTAAACTCACTTACCTGTGAGTACAGTCCAATGAACAGAATGAGACTAGCTTCTGAGCACTTATGTGTAAAACTGGGCTGCATGTTAGATGGCAACCACCCTCCAAGATCAAAGGAATATGAGGCAAAAGCAATAATGCACATTTCCCCTTCTAATTCAACGTTCTTACCCAGGCATAGGCAAACTCGGCCCTCCAGATGTTTTTGGGACTACAATTCCCATCATTCCTGACCACTGGTCCTGTTAGCTAGGGATCATGGGAGTTGTAGTCCCTAAACAGCTGGAGGGCCGAGTTTGCCTATGCCTGTTCTAAGCAAAGATGATTGTCATGGTATTACACACATCTATCTAATTTCCCCCCCAAAGGGCTGTAATGCTGTTTGATGAAGAGGTAACAGAAAATGAAAACTGAAAGGTGGAAAAACCTGTCAAAGCTTTACAAGTTAGTCAATTTGCTTACTGCCTTGACCATAGGTTGCACATACCAACAAGAGAAATAAAGCAAACAAAATTCTGTTCATAGTCATATTTATTTTCAAAAAGTGTCAAATATCTCGGGCATCAGGAATCAAAATAAGCTCTCCTTTAAGCAGTCAATGACATTGTTCATCACAAAAAGGTGTCTTGTAATCCAATGTATATCTGCTCTGAAGGAGTAGGCACTCCCAAGGCTGAGTGCCTTAGACTGCAATCCTATGCAATTGCACATTACCTGGGGGAAAGCTGCACTGATGAATATGCAATTTACTTCCAAGTAAATACACAAAGGATTGTACTGCTGTGGAGAAAAAGCCATACTCTTGCAGAGAAACCTACAGAGACAGCATTCACAGGCACATACATGGGGATCCATTAAAATTAAAAATTAACATTGGACACTGGTGTAGACTATATCAAAACATGGACCTGATCTCAAAAAGCATCAATTTAGAGGTGTTTTTTTTTCCAATAATGCTTTAAGATTTTTTATATAGAGAAAGTCTGACAATAGTAAAGCGTTCATTCCACATCTAGGAACTAGTTTAGGGAGAATATAAGCCTTAGATTATTAAACATCTGCTTTACGATACTGAAATTCTAAAGCTACTGAATGCATCCAAACTGTGCCTTTATCAGAACAGAACTAAAACAGATGCAGTAGATACTCTTCTTATTCCACAAATTCCCTCCCTCCCATGTGACTATTGCCACATGGATTTTCTGCCTTTAGGTGAACGTGAGATCTTCTGAGAATGGCACCTAGCAGTATGCAATTGCCCCCAACTCTATGGAATTACAACGAGATACATTAAATAATTACCAAAAGAAAGAAAGAAAGAAAAGCATTCCATTCACTAGAAAGCACTATAGAAATGATACACAGGCCCAAAGCATAGATTATGTACCGCAGTCTCTTTGCATGGTAGAGGAAATTAACTCTACACGATCAACCTCATCGGAAGAGTCCCATCGCCCATGCTATATAAAGAGATGGTCTGCAATGGAAACGCTGTCAAGGGAAAAAAAGTCAAAATACAAGGAAGCGGGGTGGGTAAGGGGGGTGAATGTTGAGTATGAACAGGGTTCTAGTGAGATACAATGACGATCCGATTTACGGAGACCTTCACCCCCCAGCGTCGTACCACCGATTCCCAATCTTTCCCGAAAAAGGCGCAGCAGGCAAATAGAGCTCTGCCGCAAAGGGGCTGCAACCTGCGGCGATCATCCTTGGCCCTTCCCCGTTAAACCTCTGGCTGGATCCCTTTCCCTCCCTCCCCCCCCCCCCAAAAAGAGCGGGCGATTTCTTCAAGGTGGGCAGGAGGGGTGGGGAGAGAGGATTTCCAAAGGAAAGGGAATCCAGAGGTCATCCAGTGCGACCACGCCGGTCTCTCCCAAATCAAGTGGGGAAAGGGATAAGCCGGGGAAGGAGGCGTGGAGTTGGGATCGCCGAACCGAATCAAAAAACCAAGTGGAAACGCTTGCCAATCCGGAGGGGAGGGGTGGGGTGGGGGGGAAACGGCAAAGCGAACGGATGCGAAGTGTCGCGCCCCCAAATCCCCCCCCCAGGCCAAGGCAGGGGGGTCCGAGGCGTCGCTTCTTCCTTCCCCACCCCACCCCCGGTCCCGCGCCTCCCTCTCCCCCCACGACGCGGCCCCTCACCAGGCGGAGCTGGCTGGTCTCGTCGTAGGACAGGAAGCCCAGGATGCCCTCGATGGCCACGATGGGCAGCCCCACCAGCGTGTTGCTCTGCGGGAGCTGCTCGAGGGGCTGCGCTTCCCCGCCGCCGCCGCCGCCGCCGCGGGGCTGGGGCAGAGGCGGCGGCGAGAGCCGCGCCGAGTCCATGGCGCCTCCTTCCCCCTCCGACAGGAGCCGCTCGGCCGCCGCCACCACCGCCATCTTGGGGCCTATTCCCCTTCCTCGGCTCCGGGAGGGGGCACTTCCTGTGGCGACGTCCCCGCCTCCTTCGCCGGCAAGGGCGCTTTAAAGAGGCCGCTTCCCTCGGTGTCTCTTGGAGGGTATCGGCGGGGTCCTCCTCTGAGGGCTCCCGCTGTCTTCGAGTCGAAGAAACAGAGAACTGAAGAGTTGGAAGGGGACCCCGAGGGTCATTTAGTCCAACCCGCCCCTGCAGTGCAGCAATCTCAGCTAAAGCACCCATGACAGATGGCGCCACACACATACACCCCTTCTCCCTGAAAACTCATGCGTGTGTGAACCACACCAACCCCTATAAACAGCCATAATAAGCAACCCCAAGTCCTGATGATCTCAAAAAGCATTCAGCAGCAAAACGTCAATGTAAAGGTATTCCCCCCCCCCAAAAAAATAATGTTTAGGAGTTGGTGTGGTTCACACATGCATGCGGGTGATCATGGGCTTAGCCAAAGCTTTTTTTTTCTGGGGGGAGGCAGGAGTACACATACCCCTAAACATTTTGTGAAATAATAATAATAATAATAAATTTATACCCTGCCCATCTGGCTGGGTTTCCCCAGCCACACTGGGCAGCTTATAGCAAAATATTAAAATACAATAATAATCTTAAGTTTGGCCTCATTGAGGGGCAGTATTTCAATTTGAATAGGAAAATGAGAGTACCCCCTAAACATTTTTTTAGAAAAAAAGCACCGGGCAGCTGCCCCCCTTCAAATAAATAAATAAAAATGCTTAACTCACTGAGGTTCTGCCCCCCTCCCCAAACATAAAGCCTGGCTACACCTGTGTGGGTGAGGGCTTGATTTCGGCACACAGAGCCTCTGCTCACTTGGAAACGGGGGCTGTGAACAGGCCCCACTGAGAAAATAGGTTGCCTGTGAGGTGATAGGAACCTATGTGGCAGTGTATCTGCAGTAGCCCATTCACACATGCAAGCCATCCTGTAATGTACACCAAGTGATGGATGTGCATGTGTGGCCTTAGTACCACCCTGCCACTAGAGGGGAGGGGAGGCAAACCTGGAGGCTTCAGGCCAGCCCTGGGGGTTTGGCAACCCTAGTAAAGAGAGAAACTGGGGCAGCTTCCTCAAACTTAAAAGAGTTTGACTTCTGAACTGGGTGGGGGGTGAAGGGAAGGACATGGTGGGCACCATGTTGGCAAAGCCAGATGGAGACAATATTGAGCTAGGTATCGCAACAACCTGATAGGTTGCAAGGCAATGTTATGTGCTCCTGGCATAAGGCCTCAAATTTAACTCCTCAGCATAGGACTGGGAGCTGAAAGGAATATCAGACTATACTGTAAATATGTGGGGCAGAGAGGAAGGAGGGGAATGGAGGAAAGCACATCTCCCCCTCCCACAAGGTTTTCTCTTGAGTGGGGGGTGGGGTGAGGCAAGATTCAAACCCAGGTCTTTGTGACTCATCATGGCTCACATGCTGAGCCCCCACATTGCATTATTATTATTGTTATTGTTATTATTCTATGCCGCCCTTCATCCAAAGATCACAGAGCGGTTTATAATATGAAAACACAAAAATGCATGCCATAACAACAAACAAAAACAATACCCCCTCCCCACAGTATTACAGTTGGACCAAGAGCTAAACAAACTCAGGTTGAGAGATAGCTCAGACTGTATAGCATGAGACTTTTAATCTCAGGGTTGTGGGATTGAGCCCCATATTGGGTGAGATTCCTGCATTGCATAGGGTTGACCTAGATGACCCTTGTGGTTCCTTTTCTACAAATCTATGATACCTGCTCCTCTGCTGCCCAATGCCTACTGCCATGCATTTTGGGCTCTTGTACCCACAGAGTTACACTAGCAGAGTACAGTTATAACACTTAGCTGGTATGGCCTGGTGCTGGTATATCTTTGGAACTTGTCACCACAAGGGTGTTTATTTATTTTTAGGTGTCTTTATTCTAAAGACTTTTTTAATTTCCACCCAAGCTTTCCTTGATCTCTAAGATTGGACCCTGTTTTTATTCGTTTGAATCCCCTTAAATCCTGTTTTGGTTGGTTTTAACATGCTTTTATACTACTGTTTTACTGGTTTTGTGTTGTATTTCTATTTTAATTACATTGTTGGTTTTTTATATTGTATACTCTAGAGATTTTTAAAAAAATATTATGTGGTTAATAAATTGTTTTAAATAAAATACATGAATAAAAGTTCACATTGATTACTCCTGAAAGAAACACCTTTCTAGACCCAGCAGGCAGACAGCAGGCTACAGACGCTTCAGGTTACAGACACTTCAGGTTACAGACTCCGCTAACCCAGAAATAGTACCCTGGGTTAAGAACTTTGCTTCAGGATGAGAACAGAAATCATGCAGCAGTGGCGCGGCAGCAGTGGGAAGGCCCCATTAGCTAAAGTGGTACCTCAGGTTAAGAACAGTTTCAGGTTAAGAATGGACCTCCAGAACGAATTAAGTTCTTAACCCAAGGTACCACTGTATTTCAATTAAAAGACAACTTTTCGCATCCTAGAGATCCTAAGAAGTTTATGTGGGACAGAAAGTGTTTCAGTGACAGAATTGGAGGATGTTTTTGCAGCCATATAGGTGCCTGGCGTGCTCTGGTCCATGGGGTCACGAAGAGTTGGACACGACTAAACGACTAAACAACAACAACATAGGTGGTAATAGGCACAGGTGCCTCGAGAGCAAAACTCGGCCAACCTAAGTAGATAGCATGGTGTCAACCCTGATTTCCCTTCTGTGTCTTCAGCTTCTCCTCAACCTCATTCTGCCTTCTTCATGACTCCCAACCAGTTTTCCCAGAGGGAATATGGACCTTGACATGAAAGAGATTCCTCTCTTCTTCCTACGCATACTTACTTGGGAGTAAGCTCTACTGAATACAGTGGCTCTTACTCCTGAGTCAACATGCTCCATGAAATCACAAACTGACTGAGTCTCAGTATGTAAGATGGACCAAGAACAAAAGTTGGACTTCAATTTTATTCCCACTTAACTGCATCAAACTTACCTTCTGATGTTATAAGTATAGGATTGCTCCACGGAAAACCATGTGCAGGGCAAGCCTAAGGATAGTTACTCAGAATTAAGTTTCAATTAGCTTTCTCCTAAATAAGCATTCGTAGGATTGCTAGCTGCATTAGCCCCACAAAAGAATTGAAGACTAAAGTGGATTCAATACAATTATGTGCCAGTTCAGGTGACGTGTGGCTCAAGACCCATGTGAAAAACAACAACAGTGTTTGCACGGGCTGTTTATGAATAAATAGGCGGCAATGAATAAACAGGAATAAATAGGTGGCAATTCTAGTGAGGGGGGGAAAACAGGATGCTCTATTTGTATGGGCTGCTGAATAAATGAATAAAGAGGTGGCACTGAAAACCACCTATTAGTGGTTTAGGATGTTCCTACTCTTGAGAGGCTGTCTCTTCTGTTGCAATGCCTTCATAGTTGCATAACACTTTAGCTCACACTCCCTTTTGCTAGGGTGGCGGTGCAGTAAACAGGTTCTTCCTGGGAATTCAAGCATCCAGCTAGCAAATGTGGTGCTCAGAGAGGTGATGGATGATTTGACGACTGGTGCGTGATGCAACTTGGCAAAAGAGCTTCTGTACTCCAGATTACTAACAATGGACAGTGTGCATCTTGCTGAGATGACAGATAGTATGCTGGTGAGTATCTTAAGGGAGACCTGTTTAAGTAACCAACTCTGTCTAAGTATACCTAGCTTTGGTCTTATGCTCTTAGACAATAACATAAATCGAATATTTATTATATTTTATAATATACTCAAAGTTTAATCAATAAGTCAAATAAATGACATTATGCTGTGAGGCCTACATTACATACAGTGGTACCTTGGGTTAAGTACTTAATTCATTCCAGAGGTCCGTACTTAACCTGAAACTGTTCTTAACCTGAAGCACCACTTTAGCTAATGGGGCCTCCTGCTGCTGCTGCGCTGCCGGAGCACGATTTCTGTTCTCATCCTGAAGCAAATTTCTTAACCTGAAGCACTATTTCTGGGTTAGCGGAGTCTGTAACCTGAAGCCTATGTAACCTGAAGCGTATGTAACCCGAGGTACCACTGTACTTGAAACATCTGGGAGTTTCCTAGCATGGCAAATAAAGTATATCTTTTTGCTTTTCCTTCTTTGCCCTTCTCTTTAAAAATTTACCACAGGCCAGAACATAGAAAGCTAAAAGTCAGACCTTTGTTGTATCTAGCTCAGTATTGCTGACACTGGCTGAAAAGCCCTAAAACAGGGCTGAAAAGTTTGTATCTGTGACAAATGGGTTGTACCTTACAGCCATGTCAAGGTAGGACAGGTTGCAGGACACTTTGTTACTTATTGCAACGTAGAACTGCCAGCATCTGTGCATTTTAAACTCTTTGCTAGAGTTTTTGTCACAGCATCTTAGATTAAATTGACACTTCCCCCCCACCACTGGTGACATATTGAGCCAGACCCAGATAAAGAAGCAGGAGCCTAGGAAATGACAAATTAGTTATCTTCTTCTCTCCTATACAGCTATAGGGAAAATACTTCCAGACAGAGCTGCATTAGGCAAAGGTTAGCAATGTGGTACCCATGGGTGAAAGGGAAGCCATGAGAGATTCCTCTGCCGCTCATTAAACTTTTGAGTGCCTCCTCCCTGCTGCCAACTTGGTCATGAGGTGATGAGAGCGTTTACCCTTTTCTCTTTGGAAAGTATGTAGAGGTTAAGGAGGAAGTTGGGAAGTTTCTCCTTTCTTTTTCAGCTTTATTTGCTTTTCAAGACTCGGATTAATTGATAAAGCAAAATGGTTCTCTCTCTCTCTCCCTCTCCCTCTCTCTCTCTCTTTCTGGGGGGGGGGGAGGGGCAGGGGGCACTGATCCAAGAGAAAGGTGAGACAATTGACCTTGAGCAATCAAAAATCCAAGTGTACTGAGGGGCCTTAAAACTTTGGCAACCTTTACCTTTGTCATAAGAATTTAAGGTCTCAAATATATAAATGTATATTAAATATAAATGTCTATATAAATGAAATTAAATGTTCATACATTTACAAGGCAAACACATAAGTATATAAACCACACGTCTGAAATAGTACAGGAGAGCAATCCTGAAACCATTTTGACTCTCCCAAATTGATCTCAAATGTTTCTCTGCAAGGAGGAAGAAAATGGGAAAGCCTCTCCATTGTCTTTTGCTTACCTGTCTTTAGGGCATATTTGTGTATGAATTGGGTGGGCCTGTGACCTGGATTCAGGAATTAAAGTATTTACCATCACAAAAGAATGACCAGGCTGCCCAAATAAAGCAATCAGTGACCACTGTCAGGTATCCCGGGAGGCAAGATTTCTGTTGTAGACCACCTCCTTCTGTGATGTACGTATGATGTTTTTGGGGGTGGTCTTGAGCTACAGGGTGGGCAATTTCAAAAGTCTATATAAGGGCTTGCAAACCATTGTTCTGGGTTCCTTCTCCCTCCTGCATGTGGTGAGTGAGGACCCTGTTGCAACAGTTTAATAAAGATCAGGCTTACTAGCTGTTTTGCTTCTCCATATTCTCTGGTTGGCCTCTGTTATTTTCTCCTACCCATAGGGAACCCACTTAAGGACTCTATACGGGCTCTTGGATACCCCATAAGAGAAAAGGAGCAGGTTTTTTCTACATCACCCTAGACATTCTATATTGCATAAATAAACAGGTTGCCCTTGAGAATATGCAGAGTGCTTCCTTGCCCCCAGAAACCCATGTTTGAAAAGCAGATCTCATACAAGTTAGCCACATGTAGTTAAGAATATATGGCAAGTCCGCCAGGTGTTCGCAGTATAATAATAATAAATTGCAAAGAACAGCTCAAATTATCTCCTACTAGTTTTAAATACTTATAACTCTCTAATGTACAGGCATCAAATACTAAACAATAAAAAGCAAAGACGTCTGACAGATATTATATTACTGTCAGCCAGAAAGAGATTTTGGGAGGATCCACTGCTTAGCATCATAATTAGCTAGACAGCTAAGCTACCTGTTAATTTTGTGGCAATGTCTTCTTAGACTCGGGAAGTCACTGGAAATAATGGGCTAACCCACTAATTAAACATAGGATGTTAATGGTTGCTCACAATGCCCAAAATTGCCACAACACAATTGCATGAAGTATGTTAACATGTGACTTGCATGTTTGTTACATGTTCACCATCTTTACAGTGCTTAAACATCATCAAGTAGTAGTTGTGTGTTCCCAAATGTTTTGAAAGGCACACTTGACCTGATATTGACTGTGCAGACTCTTCTTGAGAAAAAGCGGTCACTTCCAGGTGACCTGTTTATTGAGCACTCATCCTGATTTGTTTGTGGGGAGGCTATATGACATTGCAGCATTACAGCAAGCAATAATTCTCTCACCCTGATCAGTGCAATTTTCCATCACTTTCCTTATCGTAAAAACTCCACAAGAGTGCTATATCAACCTTAATTGTGCAATCTTAATTTGCTGATTGAATCCCACCCAAAAATAATGATAGTTTTGAAGCTCCCAGTGAAGAGATAGGAGGAATATGACCCATCCTTCAGGAAGGAGGAGGATAGGAATATGTTTTGAGACTCAGCTGTTGTTCAGATTAACATTACCACAGAATATGTCTCGATAGCTGTGGGACTGCTTACAGCATCAAAAAGACTCTCCTTTCTGAACCAGCTTTAAGTATTAC